TGGTGCAGTTCCACTCTGTCCTCTAGGGGCGCTGTGAGTCGGAATCAACTCCATGGCAGTGGGTGTGGTGGGCTTTGCTTCCATAAAGACTGACAGCCTTGGAAACCCTGTGGGCAGTTCCACTCTGTCACATGGAGTCGCTATGAGTTGGCAGAACACAAAATACTAGTTGTTCAATGTTACAAGTGTTACTCCATCCATCTACCCAAACCCTTCCCTTCCACCTTTACAGGGAGTTTAGGAGAAAAGGCAGAAACTGGTTCTGCTAAAACTCAAAATCATAAAAGACGACCAGGTTTACTGGTCTGATAAAGCCTGATGAGACCCCCGAGACTATGGCCCCTAGTCGCCCTTCAGGTCTGGAACTGAATTCACTCCTATAACGTCCAGCCAAACAACAGGCATACAAGGTGAACACTTACGTCACGTAGATACAGTCCCTAGAATGATCAATCATGAGAGAACAGAAGGGCAGTGTTTGTACAGGGAGATAGCTTGGAGGAGCAGGAGTGCATAGGAAAGAAGGACACGGGGAAGAGGCAACCACAGGGAGGAAGTGAGATGAGAGCTGTTACACTGTCGGGAATTACAGTCAATGTCGTAAAGAAAATGTGTATGAACTGCTGTATGGAAAATGAATTTGCTCCATAAACTTTCACCCAAATTACATTAAAAAAAAAAGAAAAAGAAACAGAAACTGGTTCTGCTCCATGGGCTCCCTTACCCCAGGATCAACTTTGCTGACACTCCAAGAGCTCCGCCTCTTGAAGCCCGAAGAAGTCGAGCCAACCTCCTGCCCGTGACTAAGCCACCACCTCTGTATCCCACCTTCTCGGAGAGCACGTGCGACCAGAGTCCTCTCTCCAGTACTGGCCCATCCCCACTCAACAGCCTACACAAACGTCCCTGTTTCTCCTGCAGCCGCCAGCAGCCCAGCACCCAGACAGTCAAGGACTCCACCCGGTCTCCTCCCTCATTTTCCAGCTTCACCCAGCTGCGGGCCCTTCTCCACCCTCATTACCTGTGTTTCCATTTCTTGGCATTTGGAAATTTTTCTTTATATTCATTATTTTTGTTGATCTACATGGAAGCACTTGGGAAGAATGGGCAGGCATTACACCTACTCCTCACTGATCCAACAGTTTGCATTGATGACAATAGTGAAAAAAAAAAAACCTAACTATTTTGCCCATTAACGACATCTGTCTGGTAGTAATGAGTGCTGAGGTTTAAGGTGAAAGTAACCTGGCTGTGATGGTTAAGGTTATGTGTCAACTTGGCTGGGCCTTGATTCTCTGTGGTTTAGCAGTTAAGAGATGGTGTAACTTGGCAGTTGCGTAATGATGCAGTCATCCCCCACTCTGATCTGATACGGTCACTCTCTATTTTCACGTAGAGCCAATGTTCATACAAAGACCAGGACTTTGGAACCCAGCCATGTCAGTAAGTGATACGGTCACTCTCCATTTTCACGTAACACCAATGTTGACACAAAGACCTGGACTTTGGAACTCGGCCGTGTCAGTAAGTGAGCAGTGGGTGTGATTATGATCCTTACATTCACCATGCTCACTAAGATCCCTGATGCCTTGGGGTCACTAAGCCATCTTCATCTCCCTGGCCCTCCTGCAGCATTTTCACAACTGCTAAGCACACCTCTGCTCTGAAGCTCTGCCCAGCTTGGGCTCATCAACACCAGAGTCTTGGCTTCATTACAGAACTGCCCACCCTGCAAACTTCTCTACACTGGCTGCTCTGCACGGTTTGCAACGTCATTTCAGTGAAGAGCAGCCGAGTGCACAGAGCCTAAGTGTGCACACAGCCTGGTGCATTCTCACAGATACTACACTCACACAACCAGCTAGGAGGCCATGTTACTTGCTGGGGAGCTTCCGCCCCTGTGT